TAGTAAACTGCTCTCATGCTAAGCCCAGGGACTGCCTCCCAGGTGTGAAAGAGCAACACTGGGCCAGTCCTGCCAGCTGGATCCCTCAAGATCATAGCAGAGAGCAAGAATAACTAAGGAACTTTCAACTTGAATGGGATTGGGGATATAGCTCAGTTGGTAGAGTGCTTATCTTGTATGCACAAGGACCTGGGGTCGATCCCCAGTACCACCAAAAAAAAAAAAAAAATGTTCTTATCTAGGTTTCCTATTGCTTCTAAATACTGAAGCTGTAATGTTCTGTTGGCATCAAGTTTTGAATAAAGCTCATTAGAGATTATTCATCAATATATATGTTCACTATTCTGGTGTTAATATATTTCATATCTTTAATATTGTAATCTGAAGGACTGTGGTTGTGTTATAATTAGGTGTGCAAAGTGCCAGAACACTTGTTAATTATTGCACCTAAACTAAATTAGTAGTTTATTTATTTTTTTTTTGTTCTTTCTTTCATTTTTTTTCCAACTCCATATTTCCCCATTCACAATGCAGACCAGGCACTGGGCTGAGGTATACGTGGGGTAGACTTACTCTGCCTCCTCTTGCTATGCAGTCAGTGTAAGAACAGAGCCTGTGGTAAGCATCAGGGGACCCAAATTCATAATTTAGTAGAATTTATTTCATCACATTTTTTTTCTGTTGATCCAGAAAACCAACATAGAAGGGCTCTTTTGTTCCAGGCACTGTCTTGTAGATTAAAAGTGGTCAACATTAGTAATAAGTCAAATGGCTGTAAAATAAGTAAATTGTTGTGATGGTTTTGAAGTGTTCACCAAAGCCCATGTATTAAGAGTTTGCTTCCCAGCCTTTAGGATTATGGGTATTTGTGGAGCATTTAGGTGATGGAGCCTAATGGAAAGAGGTTAAATCTCCTGGGATAAAGTTTTGAAGGTGATATGGAGACCTTTCCATTTGCTCTCTCTCTTTGCTTCCTGGTCACCATGATGTGCCTCTGAGTCAAAATAAACCTTTCCCTTTTAATTTGTTCACCTCAGGAATTTTGTCACAGACAGGCAACCTGACTAACATATGTAATTGCTTTAATCTTAGAATCAGATACCTTACCACTAAGTGGGTGATTTTCATAGCTGCACTAAGTAGTCCATGAGGGGCCATTTGTCCTGAAAAGGTAAGGGCCCCACAGATCATGAAAATAGATCACTAGAATACCCTTGGATCAGGCCAGTCACTATTTAATACAGCTTTCCAGGACATAATGATTTTTATAATGCATTATCTAATTATAATTGATTCCATCAACTTAAAAATTAATCTCAGCCTCCTATGTATATTTTAGATGAAGCAAAGTGCACAGATCTTACCTGGGAATAAAGAGGCATGGTGTTATTGCTTTTTATCCTTTTCTTTCTTTTAAAAAAATCTAACCCATATACCCATTCTTAATTCACTCATGTTGTAGCATACTGAAGTAGTAAAACATGGTGATAAGTTTAGTCTCTAGTAACAGAGGCCTTGTTTTGAAAATTTATTCATTTATTTTGTGGTGCTGGTGATGGAACCCAGGACTTCACATGTGGTAGGCAAGTGCCCTACCACTGAGCTACACCCTGGCCCAGAGGCTGGGTTTTCTAAAGGAATTATGACGTTGGGGCCATGTAGATTATCACACTTTGCTAAACAAATAATACCTCAAGATATAATCATACATGAACATGGAAAAAAATGATACCACAAATTATTGTAAAGGTTTCTCTGATAAACTAGTTATAAATTCAGATCACCAGTTTAACAAAAATAATCACTCTGTAATTTTTAACTACCATTGTTACAGTTACTTCCCCTGATTCTGTAGGTCACACAACAAATGTCATGTGTAAATGGAGTGGACTAAAAATCTCATGTGGTTGCCCTTTGGAAGAATCATCCTAAAAAAGCAGATGTAAAGGCTATTTTCTTGGAATTATGCAGCAAAATTAGTAGCAACTGCACTAATTTCTCTGACAAAAACTTTGTGGTTAATTTTCAATGGCTTTCTTTGTTAAGCAATCCTCTCTCTCTCTTTCTTTTTTTTTTAGGCTTTTCACAGGCCTATATTCCAAAGCCATGCTTCTAATGCCCACTTCCTCCAGCCACACCCCTCCTGCCTTCAGTTATCCTGCAATTAATCCCCTCAGATGATTAATTCACCAATTGGGTAAAAGCTTGCTGAACACAATGATTTCATCTCTGAACCTTCTTGCATTGTTTCACACATAAGCTTTTGGGCGACACATCACATCCAATCCATACCATTTCCCCTTATATGGTCCCAGGGGGGACCACAACCTGGAAATGTATGCCTTCAAAACAAAAGTGTTTTCTGTCATGATGATGAGCTCTTGTGTGTGGTGTGATTTTTTTTTTTCCTGGTAGAAGATGCTGGGATATCAGATATTGTCATCAAGATGAAAGAATCATTGACTTTCCCTATTTGTTTTGCAGTGAACTGGGTGAGATTGAGAAATAGATATTGTGAACGATGGTCAACTGTTTGCTATTATTATGCCCTTTTGGTCCCATACAGAGAATTTCTGGCGGAGACCTGAGAAGCAGCTCTTCCTGGACTGGAAACAAATTGAAAAACAAGCACAAGGACATAGAAATGTGAACATATTCAATGCATATTTTAAATATCATAATGCAAGAGAGAAAACATAGTTCAGTCTTCATTGAGTGTTTCCCAAATGTTCTCTCTTTGCTCCGAGATCCCACCCAGGGCACCACATCACAAAGAGTAATCATGTTTCCTTTGGCGCTTCTTAACTGTGATGTTTTATCATCAGTTTTTCTTCTTTCATGACATCAACATTTTTTAGGACTACCTGGTGGGGTGTTTTATTGAATGCCCTGCATTGGGATGGGAGATATATATATATTTTAAAGTAGACTGGGATCACAGAATTAGAAGAGGAAGGTCATAGAGGTAAAATCCACAATATCTTCTATTATATCATGTGTTCTTACTATTAACATGACTTCCAAGTGATGATTGGAACTTGGTCCTTAGAGCATGAGTCTAATATTTCTGTTGTAAATTTACATTATCCCTCCTCCCTCCCTATATGTGTATAATTTATACATGAACTGAGACCCAAATTCATTTTTGGAACATATTATATAAAGTTCCTTCAGGGTTATTGTACAAAACAATGGGCCTGAATGTTTTAAAGTGTCAAATTGTTATGATAAAAAAATAAAGAGAAGCTGGCCAGATATTTTCTAGATGAAAGGAAAATATAAACTAAGTACAATGTGGATTCTGGATTGGATCCTGGAAAATATGCACACACACACACACACACACATCACAATATAATTATATGATTGAGAAAATTGGCTAAGTTTGAGTGTTGATCACGAGTTAGATATAATATATTATTGCCATTCATTTCACTGATGTCTATGATTTTACTTTAACTTATAGGCTATAATATGGTTCTTAGAAAATATACACTGAATTATTTTCTGTGGTACTGGAGATTCATTCCTGGATCTCATGCATGCCAGGTGCTCTATCACTGATCTACATCCCCAGCTCTTTGTAACTTTTTTTTTTTTTTTTTGAGGGAGTGTCTTGCTAAGTTGTCTGAACTTGCAATCCTCCTGAGTAGCTGGAGTTACAGGAAAATGACCTAGTAGATGTTGCAAATGTCAACAAAATTAAATTTGTGTGACCTGAACTGTTGTGTTTGTTATAGTGTTTTGCAAGAGTTTCCTAAGTATGAAGATATTTAAAAATAAAAGTTTACAGTGAAATCAACAGATGTACCCTAAGTATAATTAGTGGGAAGGAGACTGGGTAACCATGAACTGTGACCTCTTTGAGTGTTAAGGACAATAAGTTATGTGCTTTCAGTTTTTAGGGACTGAGGCAAGAGAATTCATGTATCTTGTACACTGAAGATCCGTAACAGTGATGGTTTCATCTAACTTGTTTATTTTCCAGTGCAGGCTCGGAGGGTCAATGGCTTCACACATTCATGCAACATGTCAAAGGGAGAAGATGATCCAAGATGCTGGCAATGAGGTAGGATACAGATTTTTACTCCTTCACAGTTTGGAATGAAAGAAGTGAGAGAACAGCAGAACAGAGTGGTGGGTGACAGCTGAGCTTGGTGAAACATTGTTATTCTCTAACAAGAAACTTTCTTTATTTTCAGGAGCTGTCTGCCTGAGATCAAGATCCAGGCTGAGAGGACCCTAGCACATGGAGAACACTGCTAAAGCAGCTAGACATTCTATACCTTTGCACAGAAACTCTCCCAGCAGGTAAGCATGCCCCAACTATGAAGTCATCAGAGATCCCAATCCCAAACCCAAAACCCTTACAAAATCCTACACACAGAGTAAAACACAAACAAGAGGTTGGAAATGGATGAATTGCGATAGAGGAATGTTAAGCAAATGATGATTGTGACCAAATTAAACATCAGAAATAGATAAAATGGCAGGAAGTAATAAACATCTCTATTATAACACTGAATGTAAATGGTCTCGATTCTCCCATTGAAAGACCTAGACTGGCACAGCAGAATAAAAAACAGGATGGCACTAAGCGAAGTTAGCCAATCCCTAAAAAACAAATGCCGAATGTCTTCTCTGATATAAGGGAGGTGACTCAAAACAGAGTAGGAAGGAAGAGCATGAGAAGAAGATTACTACAAAACAAGGAAAAGAGGAGGGAGGAAAGGGAGGGAGAAGGGGAATTGAATGGAAGATGGAAGGAGACCCTCATGGGTACACAAAATACTTATATGATGGCATGAGGGGGAAGGGAAGAAAAAAAAGAGAGAGAGAGATAAGTGTCACAGTAGAATGGGTAGAGAATAGTGATGGGAGGGGAGGGGAGGGGGTATAGGGAGGGCAGCAGAATACAACTGACACTAGGATTGCTGTATGTATACACATGGATGCATAACAAATGTGATCCTGCAATCTGTACACGTGGAAAAATGAGAATTCATACCCTATTTGAATCAAATGTATGTCAAGATAATTGTATTGTCTTGAGCAACTAATAAAAAAATAAATAAAATTGAAAAAAAAAACAGGACCCAAGTATATTTTGTCTGCAAGTCACTCACTTCATGGGCAAAGACAGCTACAGTTTGAAAGTGAAAGGATGGAAAGATTTTCCATGTACATGGAGACCCAAAGCCAGCAGGAGTTTCAGCTCTCATATTCAGGAAAGCAGATGTCAAACTAAAATCAACCAGAAGAGACAGGAGGATCACTTCATATTGGTAAAGGGACAATCCAACAAGAATATGTAATGATAGTAATGATTTATGCTCGAACATTGGCATATCTTGCTCAGGGTGCAATGGAGTCAAAACATGCCAATGCGCTCTAAGAGTGGCATGAGACATGTCAGGGACATTTTATTATCTCTAGTTTAGAGTGAGAAAAATAGGGGTTCAGCATGGTTAAGGGTATTACCAAGTCATGCAACTTCTAAGTGACTTAGCTGGGATTAGAATCCAGAAAGTGTCATTCCAGGGTCTGTTTGTAGTGGGTGGGATTTGGTTCTCCACAAACATATGTCCATCTTCTGACCACTGAAGTTCAGAAATGTGAGCTTGTTTGGAAAGGA